TTGGTTCTGAAGTTCCCCAGATGCCAGGCAGATTTCGTGGGTTGTCACTCAGTTCTTTGTGTATCTGCCTTTTCCATGCTTGAGCCAATGGCTTCTTCAGCAGAAATCATCAACGTGAGTGTTGTCTCTGTAGGGCTATAGGCATATGTTATGAAGAATACAGAAAAAGATAAAACAACTTTTGCGTGAGCTGCTCAACCATGAATATATTCCCAATAAAGGTCATTCAGACTACTTTATGGGTAAATATTGATTTCAGTATGAAATTGACTTACCCCCAAAAGTATCCTTTTTTATGTTTCTAGTAATGTTGGATTATTTTCCAATATCTCTGTGTCTGCCTCAACCCCTCACATGTAGTAAGAGTGCGGGTGTCTTATTGATTTAAGACCATTAAATCCCTCTGACCACTAACCTGCCTTGTGTCAAGAACCTCTGGGAATCCCTCTCCTCCACTGATGGAAGATTTCCTTCCTTTTATCTTCCTGAATGCTGTCTTCATTCATTTTACAATTTATTCACCTACTGAAGCTCACTTGAGAGCAAGATCTGGGCTTCATAAAAGTTTAATGGTTGGGGGCTGAGGCTGTAGCTCAGTAGTAGAGTGCTTGCCCAGCATGCTCAAGGTGCTGCGTTCAATCTCCAGTACACAAAGACAAAGCAAAAAGCTTAATGGCTGTCTAAATGGATGAACATTGTACCTTGGCATTAAAATATTCATTCAACAACTTTTTATTGGATTAATGGCCTAAACCATGAAAAATGAGTCTTAGATTTTTGGAGGTTTATACTCTATTTGAGAGCAACAAATGGAAAACAAACAATAAATATCATGTTAGATACTGACAGAGGCAGGCAAAGAATTGCTGCAAACAAGGGAAGGGTATCACCTTTTTAAATCAAGGTAATCAGGAAGGCATTTTTGCTAAAAGAAGAGAGTGGGGAGAACAGGGAATGAGCCCCAGTTCTGTCCAGAAATGAGAGAGAGCAGGAGCCAGGCAGAAGAGAGTCACTGCAAGGACCCTGTGGTAGAGAGGTGCTCACTGTGGTGAGGAGGAGCAAGGTGGACAGCGAGGCTGAAGGTGGAGGACCATAGACAAGATGAGATTGAAAGAAAGCTAGCATGACAAGGGAAGATGATGGGAGATTAGGTAGGGTCCCCATGAGCCCAGGTAGAAATTCTTAATCTGCCTGCAAAGGGAAAGGGGATATCTCTGGAGACTACTGAAAGGAAAGTAATACCAATTTGCATTTCCAAAGGACCAAACTAGCCACTGTGAGGAAGAGGGGCTTAGTAAGGACTCACTTATCTCAAGGCTGTTATGATGGCCCAGGTTAGAAATGCTGGAAGCTTTGATTACAGTGGGAATGGAGAGCAGTAAGAAGTTGGTAGATTTAGAATAGTGAATAGAGCCAAGTACTATAGATTTGTTCAGCTATTGCTGCTAAAATTTCTACATATTCATGCACTGTCCCATCCAGCCTGAGTGGCTGGAGAGCACATACTGCACAGTCTTCTTTGGGTTTCTTCCAGGACCTTGCCCTTGGCTGGTGCTTAGTCAACACTCAGAATCATTGGTCGGGACCTCCGATCTCCCACCAGCCATAGTCACAGCACCTATTAGTTAAGTTCTCGGTATTTGCATATCATTGTTCTTAGCCCAGTACTTGTGTTATTTCATTCTATTGTCTCACTCACCTAGTGATCTATACAATATCATTATCTCTGTTTTAGATCTGAATTAAAAGGGAAAGTAACTTGCCTGAGGTTACACTATTAGTAAGCTGAGCTGCTGAAGTTTGGTCTAGTGCAACCTGCTCCCTCATCAACAAGCCCTGCTCAGGTATCTCCTGTCTCTGGCCCCTCCTGCCATCCTGGTGTTCACCGACCTGATGAGGATGAGAAAGAGAGGAGGTGGATACATCAGTCATGGCTTTTAAAGGACAAGTTCTGTCTGCCATGCAGTTTTATGTAGATTACCTCTTTACCCTCTATCTACATCCTAGAAGACCTTTCTGTGACTCAAAGGAAGAGCAGAGAGGGCAGCTGTCATAGTATAGTTGCTGAAAGCATTCTATGGCTCATTCTCTGCCCACTTTTACAGTGAGGAGGCAGCTATGAAGTGCTCTTTGCTTGAACCACTTTGCCAACCCCTTACCACCTAGCTTCTCTGCATGCCTGAGCCCCTTTGGCCTTTGCTCTCTGCTACACATCACTCTACTGCCTCCAACTCTTACAAGGTAGGATTGGACTGAGTAACCTCAACTCCACTGGACATAGAGTAGGCTTGAAGGCAGGAGGCTGCCATGGACACTGAATCTGAGAAATTGTAGGCAAATCCTTGGCATTTTCATCCCATTGGTATCCCAAAGACCTCAAGAAATCCACACTGTGAAGATTGGGTTGTGATAAATTCCATGCTACTCATTCTCTGTGTACCTGGGGCCTGGACAACCACCTAGCTCTTCCATCCCTTCTTATTCTGTCTCTGGCAAGGATCTATGAAAAGCTAAAAACTACTCCCCAAAAGAAGTCAACATCAAATGTTCACCTGTAAATATTACTTTAAATAACAGAAAAGAATGTTACACTACAAGGCAACAGTTTTGGTTAGGGTAAGGATCTAGATGGGAAGATCTCACACTGTATTGTCCCTATGGACCTACATTTTATCACAAGTATCTTTATGAAAGAGGTAGGGGACATCTGATGCAGATGCTTAGATGTGAAGATGGAGGCACAGGTTGGAGTGATTTGGCCACCAGCCAAGGGACATCTCCAGTATCAGAAAAGGGAAGATGTGAAAAATAGATTCTTCTCCTAGAGGGTCCTGAGGGAGCATGGCCTTGCTGACAACTTGATTCTGGACTTCTGGCTTTCGGAGCAATAAGGGAATATGTTTCTGCTGTGTTCAGTGGCCCAGCTTGTAGAAATTTGTTACACAGCCCTAGAAAACTAACTGACAAGTTTTGCTGGGTCACTACCATAATCCTTCTGGAGTCAAGTATTTTTGTGCTTGGAGACAATTCAGTCCCAGCTGGCTCAGGTGTCCTTAGATATCCATAACGTCATAATGAAGGGAAACAAAGCCTTCTGGCTGCTCTCGCAGAAACAGATCTTAGGAGTGCCAGTTCTGCCTGAAGAGCTGGCTAGCCACATCTACAGAGAGGGGCAGTTCTGCTTCTGTTATACACAGGACAGCCTGGTGTCAGTGGCACTGGATAGATTCGAAATTTGCAAAAACCGTATCTCCCACCATAGGTCCGTATCTCCCACCATAGGTCTGTATCTCCCACCATAGGTCCGTATCTCCCAACATAAGTCCTCTCTTTCCCAGCCATTCTTATACTTCCTTGTTCCCACTCCTCACCTTAAAAGGCACTAGGCACCTCACTGATTGTAAGAAATGTTCTTGGAGCTGAGAATAAAAATGAGTAAGGCAAAGTCCCTGTTTAACAGAGCTCATATCCTCATAAGAGGCACAAAACATGAAGCAAATATTTAAACGTGATTTCAGAGGCTTCCACAGGACTCCAGTTCAACTCAAGCTAAAAGAATTGACTAGATCATGCAGTGGGAAAGTCCAAGGGCTGAATCAGCTTTAGGTTTTAGGGTAAACAATGGTATAGAGCTTTTACCTTTTCCTTCATGACTCAGACGGCCGTGCTTAGGTTGTTTCAAGTTTTTCCTCCACCCCGGCAGCAAGACACCTTCTGGCCCAACCTGTATGTTCCTTCTCAGATAAAGAGAGGGTCTTCCCAGAAGGTCCTGGCAACATCTCAAGGAGGGTTTTCCTGGCCCTGGTTTGATCAGAAGCGGAGCACTTTCCTTGGCCTGATCTGATCATGTGCCCTCTTCCCAACCAACCACAATGGCTTAGAGGATTTAAGTTTGCTACTGGGTATCATGTTCCTACTCGTTGAAAAAAAGGGTGAGTCCAGCTTCAACCTCCTCACAGGATTGAATGAGATGAAAATGACTTGGGACTGGGCATCCCAGGGAGGGGATGCTGATCAGAGCATCTTATCACATGGTTCTTGTTCCCATAACACTTCTCTGCATCTTAATTCTGATCCTCTAGTCTCATGTGTCCTTTAGCCCACCAACAAAGGAAAGCAGGGATGATTAGCCTGGCAGGATCCAACTGCAAAAAGTTTTTAATCATTGCTTTGGGCAGTGTCATGTGTCTGCATGCTGAGAATTATCCCTTTCTGTCTTATAAGTGTGCCATTCTGAGGAGTGACAGGGCTCCAGGGTCTCTCTCTGGGGCAATGTTTGCCCAGGATGGCAAAATGAACACCAAGGACATGTTGCAACATGGTGATTGTTCTTTCCCATTCATGTGTTACTGACTGAAAGTCCTTCCTCTCTCAGCCCCATTAGAGAAGGAACAGACTGTTTATGTCTTTAAAAAAAAGCAAAAAAACCACAAGCCCTTGCCTTGCAGCTGTACAGAATGGGGTCATCTCAGAGGGTTTTGCCAGGGAGAGCCAGCAGGCTGGCACAGGCTGACATTAACTTCCCCTGCAGTGCGCCACGGAAAAGGCTGTGTTCCTATGCACCCTGACCTGAAATCCACATGATGCAGCTGCTTGACAAGCAGCTGCCACATTCTCCTGCTGGGGAAAATGTCCTTGATGCATCCACTGCCCTCCTGTGCCAGTCTTGGGGGAGCAGATTAGATACCGCAAAGGGGGCAGAATCCAAAGCTATAATTTGAGCCAGGCTCTTGTTACACTCACATGCAGCTGTTGCATTCAGAAATACAATGTATTTTTCTCCTTCTAAATGGGCTCTGTTCCTCTCAACTGCTTCATTTACTGCCTTTTTCTACCACTTTGGCAGTTGGGTATAATAATGTAACTGTTGAACCATTGGCTGCTAACAGCCTCTGCTCTGTGGCATTCTTTCCATGTTACAGGCACTTCCCAAGAAAAAATCTTCCCTCTTCCATAGTTTTGTCAATCATGACTTTCATTTTAATACTGTTTCATTTTACCTCATATGACTTAAAATGCCCATTGTGGACAGATGGAGTGGTGATAACTGTGGGTGCTGAATGGCCTCCATGACTTCGCAACACAGTCAGCTCTTTTCATTAGATGGTGTTTAAGAGAAGTGAAAGTGCTTCTGTCTTTGAGTTCTGCTGTCTGATATGCCGGTAACATTCCCAGTGCTCTGGATTATTTTGTTTGTACCTGTGAATTAGTTTGAGTGATTTCTTTTTCCTGTAACAACAAAAAAATATATATCTAATATCTAAACTCCAGAGTAACTGTGATAACTTATCTACAACAAGTATATCCAGACAGTTCTATGAGTGTTTACTAAGCACCTACTATATGTACACTGCTATATCACATGCTGAAGAAGATTCAAAGATGAATGGGTCACCTTTCTCTATATGGAGTGTGCTACCCATTGAGAGAATCAGATCAGGAAAGAGCTGCCCCTAAAGTAAAGCAGAGCATTCTGAGGGCACTGAGGGGAGGGGCTCAGGGACCCACCCGGGCAATGATGGTCAGGGAAACCCTCAATGGGAGCACAATTTCCATGGACCAGGAAGGGGGTAGGACAGCAGAGGCTCAGCAGCATGGAGAATGGGAAGGGGTCAGGTGGGTGCAGCAAAAGGGTGGGGAGGAGATGTCATTCCTAGGGCCTGACCTTGGGAGAACCTGTGGCACCAGCTCAGAAGATGGAAAAATGTCCAAAAGCAATAGGATTCTCCATGTTCATAGAAGATCAATTTCCTGTTTGGGAAAAACTGAGTCAGAATCCCCTCCATTCAACAGGTTAATTTTTAGGAGGGGCCTGCCTAGGAATCAGGGAGTAAGATCTCACAGGTGTCTGCAATGTAGTCTCAAATAGTCTGGGAAAAAAGTCACACACAGACACGTACACACCAAGAAGCAAAACACTGACAAATGTCCTCTAGAGCAAGACTATACAAGTGTTCATTGTATGCTTTTGTTGCTCTTGATTTTAATAATGGCTTTAGAGTTTCACTCTTTAAAGTGATTGATATTTACTATTGATTTTGCTAAATAGTTTATATTACATTAAGGAGTTTCTTTCCATTCTTATTTTTTATGATAAAAATTTTAAATATACAGAATCTACAGAGAGAAATGTAGTAAGTACCTGTTCAAAAAGGAATAACGTAATGTTTTGCCTAGTTTCTTTCGACATCCATTTTTTTTAAACGCAAGGGGTTTGGCTGTTGTTCATTCTCACTTCATTTCTGATAATATCTATTAATTATTCTTTTAGAAAATTTGCAAATTCTCACAATAAAAAATAATGCCCTCATTCTACCAAAGAGTATGGTCCACCTTAGTGTATCCATCCAGGAGCTAAAGACTCCGGGCCCAGGAATTGAGCTCTAGCAGTAAATACTCCTTTCTAAGAATCCCAGGTCCATCAGTCCTGAGCCATGGGACCTCAGACAAGATACTTTATGCCACCTGCACACCGGTTTCTGCATCTCTCCGGTGGATACTGCTAGGTCCAGCAGCCACACAGCGCTGCCAGGCAGGTTAAATGAGAGAACGCACATCTACCGCATGTAGTGCGGGACTTGACATGTGCAATGGCTTAGGGAAAGTACTGATTATCACCCCGATTTTTATTACGATGATTAAGCTTCGTTCTCCCATATTTCCCAATCCTGGTTGCCCCTTTCTTACTGGCATCCATGAGCAGCGTTTCAGACTCGTTAGACGGTTTCCCAACGGCTGTGCTGCCCTCGCCCCCTCCAGTCAGGGCTGAGTTACGACTCCGCCGCTCCCCGCGTGGAAAACACACTCTGCCCGCCCAGCCTGATAGATCATAAAGACCTCTCAGATTACACTGGGGAGCGGGCTTTGAATATTTAGATCAGATGTTGACAACCTCAGTGGTGTAAAGTAATCATTTGGTTTAAATAAAAAATATGCAAATCAGGTGTGGAAATGGTGCTGTTTTTTTCCAACCGCGTTGGCAGCCGCATTGTCCGTGTCACAATTTACTGTTTCCAAACAAATTAAACTTTTTTCAGTGTGACAGTAGCTCATCATAAAGGTGACATGATTCATTTGAAGATGGCCGGAAAGTCTCAAAAAAAATCATCTTTTCCCTAACACCCATGGCGCTCTCTGCATCCCACTTCTTCCTATAAAACGGTGTCTCGGGCAACCCGGAGATGCTGATTTCAAACAGAACATTTACGAGTGCACCATCCTTTCAATCAAAAACAAGCTTAACACTGCACTGAGGCCATGTGTATCTGTGTTTTATGTTTGTAAACATGATCTACATGAAGATCCATGCAACATGGAATTAGGGTGACTTTAGTATATATAATGCAATGTACACATAATACATGTACTCGCAATGCCCAAGAAAACACAATACAAGCTATTAAGGTAACTCAACAAATAAAACGAAGGAATTTAAAACCACTTTAGGGCAGTTACATATGGCTCCAAGCCTCCATGAGTTATTATTTTAGGTATCTCTTTTTTCAAAATAGATTTTATTTTTATCACAATTTCATGCATATAGAAAACCTTGGGAAGATAGGATAATTAATTCCCACATAGCTCACATTCATTTCTCCTATTTTTCACATCTCACATTATGATGACATGTTTGTTACAGTTAATAAATCAGTATTACTAACTGAAGCATGTATTTTATTCAGATTTCCTCATTTTTTTCACTGATATTCATTTTCTGTCCCGGGATGCCATATTACACTTTAGCCCTTGTGTCTCCCTGCATAATTCTTGACCGTAGCAGTTTCTGACTTCTTTTGCTTTTGATGACAGTTTCAAGGTCTCCCCATCTTATCAACCACCTCTCCTTAGGAAACTGAAAGTCTCCAACATTGCTGAAACACTTTTGACAGCCTTTGAAAGAGACTTGCCTTATAATGTCAGAACAACTGTGACTGACTAGTAATTTTACTTTACAAATGCTCTTGTTTTGAATAATAGATTAGGGCATTTATTCACAAAATTGGTTTCTGGTAATTAGATATTTTGCGATGCATTGCATAACCCCAATTTTCATTTTATTTAAAATTACAGTCTGCTACAATAATAAACATAATCCATTTATATTGGATCAGTCTGGTAGCTATTATGCATTGTGGGCATAATTACATCTACCCTGTATTCATGTCCTTCTCACCCTGTAAAAATATAATTGCCAGAAAACTTGAATTGGAGTAAATTCTTAGAGGGAAAAGCTGATAGATGGCATTGCTGTCTTCTGTTTCTTTGCTTCCATGTCACAAAATCTTGAACCCCAGAAGCTAGTGTCAATGCCTCCTCCCTAAACAGGCCTCTCAGGGCTTCATCTGTCCACAGACTGCTTCCCCCAATTATGTTAAAGTACTTCCTAAGCAGCTTCTATAGACCAAGTTCTTCTCATAAACAAACATACCTTTTTTGGGGGGGAGGGAGTACTGGGGATCGAACTCAGGACCTTATGCTTGCCAGGCAGGCAAATAAACGCACAAAACCTTATCACTGCCCTTGTTGTTCAACCTGCACAGGGAGACAGATTTAGATTAAATGAATCACTAAAGGCTTAGCACAGTGTAGGTGTACTCTAAATTGAGGGAGTCCTTAATTTTTCTCTGATTTCATTTTTTGTCCCTGTGTTAGCTTTCCATTACTGTAACACACACCTGAGATAATTAACTTAACAAGAGAAATGTTCATTTCGGTTCACAATTTTGGAGGGTCCAATCTATGGTCAGTTGGCCCCATTGCTTTTGGGTCTGTGGCAGGCGGCACATATTGGTGGGAGGAAGGCTGTGACAGAGCAAAACACTGGTCATCTCATGGTGAGTTGCAAAGAGAGAGGAGAAGGGGGACTAGTATCTCCTTCAAGGGCATGGCCTTACTGACCAAAAGACCTTCCACTAGGCCTAACTCTTAAAATGTCCAGTACCTTCCCATAGTTTCAAGCTGGAGATCAACCTTTTAAATGTAAATCCCTTTACGGGATTTTAGGGTAAAAATCCTAGGATCCAAACTAAGGAATCTCCTTTCTGTTTCTCTAACTCTAACCTGTTACTCATACGCCAGTCTATGTACTTGCTGCACCTCGGGACACCCCACATGTGACACATCTGAGCCTGCCTGACCATAGTTAGTCCCTCCAAGCCCATCAGGCTGCTCAGCTCTGACTTGTGATCTTTCACATCTGGTGGTTATGTGAACCAGGCTATGCTACCTGGCCTGGCATGAGCCACGAGACAGCATGAATGGCAGATGGTACACTGCAGAAGTGGAGTGCTTGAAGGTGTAAGAATCGTTACTCTCCATGACAGACACAGAGAGAAAAAGACTGAAAAAACTAGTTGTAAATCAATGAGTTCTAAGAAAATTTCAGCTGCTTAGTATATGTGCAATGGAAATCCTTGAAGAAGCACTGAAAGTGGGAGAGACTAATAAGACATTTGAAGAAATACTGGCCCAAATTTTCCATTTCTCAATGTAGATTCTAGAGCAAAGGATATTACCAGAGATTTTAAAAATGTGTTTCATAATGATAGAGGGGTTGATTAGTCAACAATATGCAATAATCTCAAACATTTATGCAATGACTTAGACAGTTTCAAAATATATGAAATAAAACTGAGAGAGTTGGAGGGAGAAAGAGGGAAGATCACAGTTATGAGAAACTTCTGCTGTCCATTTCTTTTTTGAGGGGGTAGTTTGGTTTTTTGCCGGTACCAGTAATCGAATCCACGACCTTGTGCTTGCCAGGCAGGTGCTATGCCGCTGAGCTAAATCCCCAGCCCTAGCCCTCAATTTCAATAATTGCCAGAGCAAGTAGGAAATCTGAAATTCATTTTGATTTTAGTGCAGCCACATCAGCTTTTTTTTGATCAGTGTAAATAATTTTCTGCTATCCTTTTATTTAAAACACTATATGTGTCTTTACTTAACATGGACTCTTTGTAGGCAGTATATGATTGAGTCTGTTATCAAATTGGCAAATTTACATTTTTAAAATTTAGAAAATTTATGATCTTAGGATTTGGCAAACTTACAGTCTGAGAAAAGTCCACCCAATATCAACAAAATCTACTTTCTTTGTAAGTGTTGATGGAATATTAATGAAGATTTACAAATTGTGAGCCACAAAATAAACTTTAGTACATTTAAAAGGATTCAATTTTTATAAAGGACATTATCTGATTAGAATGTAATTCAATTAAAAATTTATAACAGAAAGATATCAAATAAATCCTCAAGTATTAAGATTAAACAATATAATTCGAAATAGCCCACTTTAAAGAAGAAATTAAAAAGGAAATTAGAAATTTTTAACAGAATGAAATCATGCTAATATATCTGAAAATACAGCATACTAAATTTTTTTAGGGACAATGAATACAACACATAGAGGGAAATTCATAAGACCAAATTCCTATTTAAGAAAACAATAAAGATTGCAAAGCTGTGACCTCACCTTCTACCTTAAGAAAATTTAAAAGTAGAGCAACTTCAGCTCAAAGTCAACAGAAGATATATCGTAAAGATCAGAGTGAAAACCAGTGAAATATAAAACAGTAAATGTAAAGAGAAATCCAGATGGTGGTTATTTGAGAAAATCAATACTATTGATAAAGCTACAGCCAGGCTCATCAAGAAAAAAGAGAACAGACACAAATAACCAATATCAAGTTGAAATAGATGACACCACAATAGATTTTATAGATATTTTAAAAGATAAGGGAACATTATGCTAGTAAATAGCTTTATGTTAGTGAATTCAACAACTTAGATGAAATAGACAAATTTTTTGAAACATAAAATCTCCCAAAATTTACTTGAAAACAAATCATATTTGTCTTGATGATGTTGATGATTTCATGAATACATACATATGTCAAGACATAACGAAGTATATACTTTAAGTAGTGAAGTTTATTGTATCTTAATTACACTTCAGTAATGACATCAATATCATCTTTACTTTTTATTCTCTTTAAAATAAATATATAAATAAATAAATAAAATAAAAAATAAAAGAGTGAGCCAGAGAAGTGCTCAAAAAATATATATACTACTTATGCTTATAACCAGTAGCTCTCCTCCTTGGAAGTTCTGCTTTGAAAATTATATCACTTGTAGCTAAGACTCATGTAAAGGGATATTAGTACAATGCTCATCCTGGTGTTAACTATAAAACAGTGGTTGAATGTGTGCTGGTACATACCCAACTTGGAATACTACACAGTTCTTTGAAAAGACTGAATCAGACGTTCAGTGGCTTCCATAAAGGGATCTATTAAATATAAGTGAGAAAACTAAGATGCATTGAGTTTATACCCCTTTTTGCAATTTATGTGCCATGAATACATGTATCTGTGTCTACACATGCATATACATATTTATGTATCCATATGTATAGATAGTATACGTTATGTCAATATTAGCAATATTACACAGATATACATGTATGCATTTAGTGTTGCTAATATTGATTTACAGTAAATCACAAACAAAAGCAAAAAGAAGTACATTGAAAACAGGTACATATACAATCAGAATCTTACCCTCTTAACATGTCTAATGTTCACACCCTGGTGCTAGCCAGTGTCATCACCCCTAGCTTGATCATCTCCCAATTCTGATTTCTGCCCTCCTTCACAATTTGTTTTTTTTACCAAGCTCTACAAATCTACCCCAGCTCTCTAGGAAATCCAGCCATGACTTCATCTCTTGCACATAATCCCTCAACCTTATGCTCATAGGTGCCAACATTGAGCTCAAGCTATGCCTTCTTCCCATGAAACCCTCTTCGTTCACCTTCCCAGTCTTTGGAGACTGGTTCAGCCCAGGCTTGTGTGTCCTCTCCTGATTTCTCACCATCAGTCATCTCTGGGGAAAGCAAGTTAGACCTTACCCCTC